TGTCTCCTCATCGCTCCTCTCCTCCCCTCTCTCTGTCTCCTCCCCTCCTTTGTCTCCTCATCGCTCCTCTCCTCCCTTCCTTTCCACTCCCCTACATTACTGAAAAGTAAAAAATAGTGGTCTGGATGATACAACCCTAACCCTTGTTTGATTGGTTAGTGTGTAGTCCTACATGTGTTTTATCAAATCAAATCAAACCAAATGTTATTTGCCACATGCGCCGAATACAACAGGTGTAGACATTACCGTGAAATGCTTACTTACAGCCCTTAACCAACAATGCATTTATTTTTTTATAAAAAAGTTAAATAAAACAACAAAAAAGTGTTGAGAAAAAATGAGCAGAAGTAAAATAAAATAACAGTAGGAAGGCTATATACAGGGGTACCGGTGCAGAGTCAATGTGCGGGGGCACCGGCTAGTTGAGGTAATATGTACATGTGGGTAGAGTTAAAGTGACTGTGCATAAATAATTAACAGAGTAGCAGCAGCGTAAAAAGATGGGGGTGGGTTTAGTGTCGTGTTTTGTATGTTCGGATGTGTTATGATATTTAGATGGGTGTGTGTGTTAACTCCCACTGATGTTCCTTTGTTTTTACTTTACCTTGTTTTACTTTGTTCCCAGTATCTGGGATTTTGTGTTTTTTCTCCTTGGCCTCCTGTTCTGTGAGAGACAAACCACACCACAAATACAATCTTGAGAAACAGTTTACTTTGTCAGAGGCCATATTGTAGAATGGAAATGTACCGTAGATAATCATAGAAAACAATCTTTATTTTGATAGCATTCTGGAATAATCTCAATCTCATTAGGGGTAGGCACACCCAGGGGAGGGGGGAGGAGCTAGTGCTAGGCACACCCGGGGGAGGACTAGGGGTAGGCCGCCCAGAGGTACTCAGCCGCAGTCCAGGATCAGCAGCACGTCGAGGTAGGTTTGGGGCAGGCACGTCCATGAGTTATTAGATGTAGAAAAGGACAAAAAAAAGGGGCTTAGTGGGAGCATGCTTAGGTACATCAGATAAGACACAGTACAGTACACCAGATGAGACAAGCTGACCATTGACCCTAGGCAAATAAAAACTATTGCAACATAAACACTAGAGACTGGGACAGGGGGATCGAGAGACAATGTGGCCCCGTCCAACGCCACCCATGAGTGCAAACCTACCTGGTGTCCCCCAGGGCTCAGTTCTAGGCCCTCTCCTATTCTCGCTATACACCAATACACTTGGCTTTGTCATATCCTCACATGGCCTCTCCTATCATTGCTACGCAGACGACACACAACTAATCTTCTCCTTTCCCCCTTCTGATAACCAGGTGGCGAATCGCATCTCTGCATGTCTGGCAGACATATCAGTGTGGATGACGGATCACCACCTCAAGCTGAACCTCGGCAAGACGGAGCTGCTCTTCCTCCCGGGGAAGGACTGCCCGTTCCATGATCTCGCCATCACGGTTGACAACTCCGTTGTGTCCTCCTCCCAGAGTGCGAAGAGCCTTGGCGTGACCCTGGACAACACCCTGTCGTTCTCCGCTAACATCAAGGCGGTGACCCGATCCTGTAGGTTCATGCTCTACAACATTCGGAGAGTACGACCCTGCCTTACACAGGAAGCGGCACAGGTCCTAATCCAGGCATTTGTCATCTCCCGTCTGGATTACTGCAACTCGCTGTTGGCTGGGCTCCCTGCCTGTGCCATTAAACCCCTACAACTCATCCAGAATGCCGCAGCCCGTCTGGTGTTCAACCTTCCCAAGTTCTCTCACGTCACCCCGCTCCTCCGCACACTCCACTGAAGCTCGCATCTGCTACCAGACCATGGTGCTTGCCTACGGAGCTGTGAGGGGAACGGCACCTCCGTACCTTCAGGCTCTGATCAGTCCCTACACCCAAACGAGGGCATTGCGTTCATCCACCTCTAGCCTGCTGGCCCCCCTACCTCTGCGGAAGCACAGTTCCCGCTCAGCCCAGTCAAAACTGTTCGCTGCTCTGGCACCCCAATGGTGGGACAAGCTCCCTCACGACGCCAGGACAGCGGAGTCACTCACCACCTTCCGGAGACACTTGAAACCCCACCCCTTTAAGGAATACCTGGGATAGGATAAAGTAATCCTTCTACCCCCCTTACCCCCCCCCCCCCCCCCCCAAAAAAAAAAAAAAAGATTACTTTTTTTTTTTAAACATATTGTAAAGTGGGTATCCCACTGGCTATAAGGTGAATGCACCAATGTGTAAGTCGCTCTGGATAAGAGCGTCTGCTAAATGACGTAAATGTAAAAAATTTAAATGCAACAAGCCAGGGACTCAGCCAACGTAATAAGAACTCTGGAATCCCAGTTGAGAGTGGGGAGCTGACCAAGCAGAGACAGCAAGGATGGTTAATCAGTCCAGTGCCTTGGGACCTGATGCCTCTCTGCTTGGCTCTCAGCATTAAGGAATTGGGGAACTAGGCTACTTGTACATCAAGTTGCCTTACATGACAGAAACAGGAGATATGCTTCTGCCCATATGGGCCGTTCATGCTCAGACAAGCATTATTTGTCCAAGTCTTAGCGAGGTAACATCACTTACTTTAATTTACAAGACTGAAACCAAGTCTGATTCTCTCACAGCAGTGGTACCCACCATCGTTGTAAATGAGTCCTTGAACATTTCTGAGACAACTCTAGATTCGTCCGCGCGAGTGGAGCAGACGGGACTATGACGTCACGTTTACAAACTCGGTATCCCTTCTAGCCCTGACCGAATAGGTCTATTTCCTGTAACAAATTCTGTATCAGCCAATTACAAATATTGACGTAGCAGAACACTTTTTCATAGATCACACGGCAGCTGAGTAACGCTCAACTCTATTATATCGAGGCAGAGCAGAGTTTTGATAACCAGTCGCGGAATTCGCTAGCAACAACATTGAGCCACCATCAGTCGATTCTTGTAAAAATGTAAATTCTGAAAACACTTACCTGTACCTATGTTTGTCCTATACAAGTGCCCCCTTCCGCGTGGTGCTGAAATGTATACTTTTAATAAAAACTTTTAGCGAATACAACCACCGACTTTTCCCTTGTTGCTCGTACAACGTAAACTGAGATTCAATTGGTTCCGGGATCCTTGGAACATCCCTACCGTAAAACCAGCCCTACCCTAACCCTTACCATTTAACATTTAAATGGCGTAGGGACGTCCCAATGATCTTGCATAGCACAGACCCAATTCAATCACAGGTTATTTTTGCCATATTATCTGACGGGACCAGCTACAATGTAGCATTCTATCACGTGCAAGTAAATCAACGATTTAAATTGACCGATGCCCATTACGAGACTGATAAACAGTTTGAACTTAAACTGTGTCTAATGTTCGCAAGTATGGCCCCATGGAATCCTTTATTGCAGTAACAGCAGAGAAAACGGTGGTGTCATTTCTAGTGAAAGTCAAGCGACTGAGCCACTCCAATAATTGTTGGTGACGGACCACTGTTAACCTGTTATTCATTGCAAACATTTATTTCAATTTATGATGCAAACAGAAAGTCTCTCCCTTATCGGAACAGCTCATGGAATATGAGAGAATAAAGAGACGCAAAGGGACAGAACAAAAAAAGTATTATGCGCCATTCCATTATGGTTCTTAAAAATAAAACAATTGAGATAAGCACTCAATTCTCTACATTGTAATTTGGCATTTGCTCCCTCGTGTTGTACTTCTGTAATGGTCCTTAAAAATCAAAATACACGGCATGCATAATAGTTGTTTTATAAATGCACATTGATCAAGGAAACCGCTTATTAAAAAAAAATATATGTATGGTGGGCATGTACATTTTATATAGTCCCTTACAGGTTGTCGTTTGCCTATCCGTTCCCACTCGTGGACTATTCCTCATATCTAACTTGGTCAATGTATTCATCCCGTTCGGGTCTGCTCAGGGGAACTCATCTGTAAGATGGCTTTCTAACATTGTGCCAATCACTTTTTACTGCATGTTATTATCAAACTATTTTCAATCATTTAATTCACAGTTAAATATAATCTTTCTGAACTTGTCTGCTAGCTAACAATTTCAACTTCGAACCTCAGACTCAAAGAGATGGTTATATAGCCAATAGTTACTTTCCTTTTACTTCTTATGAATTAAAATGTCCCCTCCCATTGTGGTCCATGTTCCTTTCTACCATCTTCTCATGCCACTGCATGTGGACCCTGAGAGGTCCATGCTGCCTACAACCCTTTGGCCTACCTCCACTCATGTCTTGGAGCCTGGGACTAGTCAGTGCAGTGTTATTGAAATGTGATCCTCTTAAATGCCAATAAGTGACAACCTCCTAAGGAATTTAAGTGTTTCCAATACATTAATGTAGATCAATGCAGGGCTCTGGATTATATAAGAGTATGACACAGCCACATAAGGGTGAGTGCTGCTGTCTACATGACCACACTTCTTTCTATGTTTATTGAAATAATGTAAAAAATATATATAGGATGAAAAAAAAAATACATGAATGAAACATGACGATTAAACACGAGTCACGTCTGCATGTTGTCTTTCCTGTTAAAAAAGTGTATTGCGACGTGTACAACTACTCAGCTCTGTCTCATTGCTCAAAATGTGTTGTAAGGGTACGGTGGGCCTATACCATTAGATTCATTTACAGATTGACAGTTATAATGCATTTATCACACCAACAGATGTCACTGGGGGAGGTGAAAAGATTGAAACAGAATAGAAAATATTCATCAGTTAGAATTTTTTTTTTAAACACTTCTGCACAATCGATGCTATGTTAATTCTCTTAGAAAAAGAGAGTAAAGAGGAAAAAAAGCCAAAAAAAAAAAATGTTCCAGAGACCAATAAAAGTCTATTGGGTTCAAGTTGTACCATCTTTTCTGATAGCGGAGGCAGACTTTATAAACCAAACATGGGACTGAGTGTGGTGGCGGTGGTGGTAGAAGTGGGGGAGTCTCCCTATAGCGCCTCCTGCTGCCGGGGCTCTAGTCGATGTACTGGGAGAGCCAGCGGAAGCCCTCCCCGTAGCCCTGCCTCTTCAGCACGCTGCACATGAACAACTCCAGTGGTCTCGTGTTCAGCTCCTTCATTGGAATGTTGCCCTGGAGACCAGAAGAACAATGTCAGGGAACAACATTCAAATGCATGGTTGTTCTAACCACCTGTGGCTCTGTTTTTGTTCTTCCTTTGTTTTAAAAACCTTATCTATGTTAGAGGTATGCTTTTCAACTGGATACTGCTTTGGTTACTGTTAGGGCCAACAGTTTTCCAACATGACCTGACAAGGTGAAACTCGTGATTTGTTGTACAGTTCAGTAGTTGCACTGTGAGGAAAGAAACGTGGGTGGCACAGTAATCTCCTCACCTTGCCTGTTGTCTGTCCATACAATCCAAACAGCTCACGCAGTTTCTCCTCACTGATGGCTTCTGGTCTGTCAATCTTGTTGCCGAGGACCAGGATAGGCACGTTTCCAATGGTCTCATCTGTCATTAGTGCCTGTGTGTACCACAGGACAGAGATGTATGGTTAGGTTATCACATTACTCCCCACCAAACATGTCATGATCTTAGACATTATCTACCCATTAAAGGGCAAGGCATGCCTTCATTTCAACAGACTAACTTTGAGCAGTTATCATGACTTTGGAAACGGTAAAGAAACCATTCTTTCATGGCACATATCCAAAGCAATCAGTACAAAACGGATTAACTGCTTATGAAAAGGCCATTTGTTGTTTCAATAGAACATATATGGTGGGTTTTAAATTGAAATGTGATAGTTTTCAGTCCCATTCATCTTATTCATGGGGCTTTTTCAATGTGGTTGTGAATCGATGATACTCACATCAAGTTCTGTTTTGGACTCAGCCAATCTCGGTATGTCCGCGCAATCCACAAGGAAGACTATGCCGTTGATGGCGGGGAGGTAGTTTTTCCACACTCTGCGAGCTGTTTGAAAACACGCACAAAGCAAGATAAATGATTGCAGTGCAGTTTTGCTGGGAACCACAAATCAACTTTCTCTCACACACAGACAGTCAGGCACACATACATACCTTGTGCATGGCCTCCAAGGTCAAAGGTGGTGAAGGTCATGCCAGCGATCGTCAGCTCTTCCGAGGCTGGTGGGTAAAATGGGTCATGGTTACATTGGGAAACTACTACACAAGCTCAGCCAATTGAGTAACCATCAAATAAGTAGGACAAGAGTAAAAGTAGCCAGTGCAGTGTTCATTTAGGCACTATTTTTTGGATTTAGTCTAGTCTTAGAAGATCATACTTGGATCATACTTCAACTACCTCAATTAGCCGGTGCCCCCGCACATTGACTCTGCACCGGTACCCCCCTGTATATATAGCCTCCCTACTGTTATTCTATTTTACTTCTGCTCTTTTTTTCTCAACACTTTTTTTGTTGTTTTATTTTTACTTTTTTTGTAAAAAATAAATGCACTGTTGGTTAAGGGCTGTAAGTAAGCATTTCACTGTAATATCTGCACCTGTTGTATTCGGCGCATGTGACCAATACAATTTGATTTGATTTGATTTGTTGAACTATTAGGCCTGTTCATAAGCTGCCGTCTGTTCCCTTAGCTCTTGATGGATACGTTTATAGAAAAATGATACAAATGTGACTATAAAATATCTACTCACTTGGATGTAAAGTTGGCACATGCTGTCCCAATCTGTCATCTTTGAGCATGTGCAGTAGCGTTGTCTTGCCAGCATTGTCCAGTCCAAGAAATACTAACTTGCCCGATTTCTTGTACAGTCCTAAAATGTAATTTAAAAAATATAAATCAAACAAATATTTTGGAAAGTTTTTTGCACATTAAAAACGAAGCTGCGACTTCCTATCACCTTTCCCTGTCAATAATTGTTGACTTTCCTTTGCCTAACAATGTATTTACAATTAAACCAAATCATTGGAAAGTCTAATAAATATTCTCAGCAACAAAATAAGTCAAACTTGAAAGTGTGGAAGTAACAAGTTAAGACTTGCTGTCAGGTATGCATAAACTATAGTGAACTAGCCTTTTTATCTAAGATTCAAAATACACTCCTGACCTGCACTACCAAACAAAACCAACAAGTATACCTACAGCACTGGATGAATGCCTGTCATTTCTATCCGAGTCAGCTCTTAGGCCTAGCCGTCATCATTACATTTACATTTTAGTCATTTAGCAGACGCTCTTATCCAGAGCGACTTACAGGAGCAATTAGGGTTAAGTGCCTTGCTCAAGGGCACCGACAGATTTTTCACCTAGTCGGCTCGGGGATTAGAACCAGCGACCTTTCGATTACTGGCACAACGCTCTTAACCACTAAGCTACCTGCCGCCCATCATTACTCAACACCACTAGATTATCAGCAGTACCTGTTTAACAAGGTAAGCAGGAGTGTCACCACGCCTCTCGGGTTATGAAAGCTAGCTATTGTCACAGAAACTAGAGGGCTCTGGAGAGGGAGGCTAAAGAGAGTGGTAGCAGCAGCCTCGTTTGTGTTTGACTGTAGCTTGGCAGTGGGCACACACTAAAACAACACCTAGGCCTATACTACTCAAATCATCAGCTACCACATTCAACCACTAGAGGGACAACAGGGATTTCTAGGAACGACAGACAGTACCACACTTGTCATTCTTTAGAACAGGTGGCGATTGGGAAACCAAGAAATAAGAAACAGAAAAGGTATCAGTACTGAGTAGCTTGAGATCCATATTCCTATACAAACCATTCAGAGGACAGTATTGAAAGTGTAATAGGTGATGTTTAGATAGTACTTACCTAGAAACTGCAGTACGCTACTGAAACCACTATAAATCCAATCAAATATGAAGGACATATCCGGAGCTGGTGAATCCTGTAAGACCGCAAGAACAGAGGCGATGAACAGGCATGCAAGAACAGTACATGCCAAAACGTTTGACTAATTACTTGGCTCTGTGATCTTCCTTAGACACAAAGAAAATAAAAAGATCTAGGCCTCATGAAAGCTAGAAAACAACAGCAGTGTCCCCAATCTCAAATAATGAGATTGGTGCTTTCAAGACAACTGGGAACTCTGAAAAATATAAGGTCAAATCATGACGTCAGTGATGTTCCTGTCGGAAAGTCGGAGCTCTACAAAGAGGCCAGAGTTCCAAGTTGGAATTCCGAGTTGGATGACCGTTAAAACTATTTTTTCCCCAGTCTGAGCTTGTTTTAGTCAGAGTTCCCAGTTGTCTTGAACGCACTGAAGTTGGAAGTCGGAAATCTCAGAGTTCCCAGTTGTTTTGAATGCGGCATGACCCAATAGTGAAGAGATGGGCTATTAGTTGTCCCGGATTCCAAAACTGTTAACAATCTATATCAGGGATGGGCAACTTTGATGGTGGTTGGGGCCACAAAAAATCTAAACTCATCACGAGGGGCCGCAGTTGCTGTTTTACACATTTTGTCATACAATAAATATACAAAACATTAGGAACACCTTCCTTATATTGAGATGCACCCATTTTGCTCTCAGAACAACCTCAATTCATTGGGGCATTGACTCTACAAGGAGTCGAAAGCGTCTTTAACCCGTCTGCTACCCTTCATCTCATCTGACTGAAGTGGATTTAACAGGTGAAATTAATAAGGGATCATAGCTTTCACCTGGATTCACCTGGTCAGTCTGTCATGGAAAGAGCATGTGTTCCTAATGTTTTGTATACTCAGTGTGTAAGACATCGAAGTAAATTATTATGTTTTTAGATGTGACAGAGCACAGAAAGGGGAAAGGAGTAGCCATATATGTAAAATCTAATTTCATGGCATCCCAATCTTTAAATATTTATATTCCCAATAAATTTGAGCTCTTGGTTAGAGTTGTGTCCATAAACTAGAATACACATTTATTTGTTGCTGGGATTTACTGGGTCATTGTCATGTAACTGGTTTAACAATTACTTGACAGATAGCACTCAGTGTATTTACTGATGGTCTTAAATCAGATTCCCTGGATATTACAAAAGGTGTCCCGCAGGGGTCGATTCTGGGTCCTGTAGTTTTTACAAGAGAACGACTAATCTTGATTTTTTTTTAGAACAGATGCCGATTTTTGGTGGTCGAGGCCGATATTTTAGGCAGATTTTCAATATCATTACATTTGAAAATGTTGACAACAAAATTTCCCTAGAGACAGCCACGTATGCATTAACGCATACATTTTCAAATCAAAACAAATTACTTTTGTTTATACCAATATAACAATATATTGGTAATAAAAATTTTTTTATGGTAAATCTCTTGATAAATCTGAACTGGTTCTCTAGCAGATTAGTAAAAATGTCTCAACCCATGTTCAAGAATGGCCCTTTTCCCTTTATTCAGATTACAACCGCTCACTTTCGGTTATTTGAAAATAAAATCTCAAAAATATAGTTGTTTTTAAAACAAGCCATAGAAAGTTGGTTGCAATTTCAGTTTAATCTACCAGGAAAGACAGAACAAATATTACAACATATTATGGGTAAACTCAAATATACTAATTGATTTTAAAAAATAACATTTTGGGAAAACATTTGAAAATTGTATAATCTTAGTAAATTATATCAGAAATAGGACTAGTGGAGTTGTCACACATGCAGCTAACACAAATATATGGTAATGTCTATTCTACTCAACATTACAACCAACAAATTGCAGCATTACTGCAAAAAATGGAAGAGGCAAGTGGAAGGTGGAAAAAGTAAGGAACTTGTCTGTCGGCCTGCATTAAAGACCAAAATTGGTTAAAGAAAAATGTGATAAAGTATACCAGTTTCATTTAAGGAACACAAAATTGACAGCTGAGCCATATAGACTGCAAAAAAGTTGGGAAGAGATTTGAGATGTACCGATTCCATGGCACATGGTTTATGAACTGATACACAAAAGGACAACGGATTCAAAATTTAAGTTTTTCTATTTAAATTATACAAAATTATTGCAACCAATAGAATGTTATATATATGGGGGATACAACCATCACAGCTCTGCAGATTTAGCTGCAAAGAGACAATCATTAGACCATTTGTTTTGGTACTGTCCATATGTAGCTTGTTTTTGGTCGCAGGTTAAGAAATGGCTGAAGAATTGCAACATTTACCTGGAGCCAACTCTGCAAATAGCACTGCTGGGTGATTTGAAAAGTCCTAGTCAATCGATCAATAATATAATAATACTCTTAGCAAAAATGTTTATTTAATGTACAATCTTTAGAAACCATGAGAATAGAAAGGTTCAGAACTTTTGTGAAACATCACAGCGGAAAACTATATGGCAAATAGAAATCAAAATTGGATGGTCTTCAGAGATAGATGGGAGGGGTTGAGGGTAGCTGAAGGATGGGACTAAAAAACAAAGATAACTATTGTAAAATATACTGTGTCCGTAAAATGTATATGGTACGTAAACTGGAAGTAGAAGCCTAAGTGTTGTTGTCCATTAGTTTACTCCAATTAAGGGAGGGGTGGTAGGATTAGGGGAAAATAAAAGGAATATATACAGTGCATTCGGAAAGTATTCAGACCCCTTTACTTTTTCCACATTTTGTTACGTTACAGGCTTGTCCTAAAATTGATTAAATAGTTTTCCCACCCTCAATCTACACACAACACCCCATAATAACAAAGCAAAAACAGGTTTTTAGAAATTGTTGCAAATTTATTAAAATAAAACAGACATTTTAAATTTACATAAGTATTCAGACCCTTTACTCAGTACTTTGTTAAAGCACCTTTGGCAGCGATTACCGCCTCGAATCTTCTTGAGTATGACGCTACAAGCTTGGCACACCTGTATTTGGAGAGTTTCTCCCATTCCTCTCTGCAGATCCTCTCAAGCTCGGTCAGGTTGGATGGGGAGCGTCGCTGCACAGCTATTTTCAGGTCCCTCAAGAGACGTTCGATCGGGTTCAAGTCCAGGCTCTGGCTGGGCCACTCAAGGACATTCAGAGACTTGTCCCGAAGCCACTCCTGCATTATCTTGGCTGTGTGCTTGGGGTCGGTGTCCTGTTGGAAGGTGAACCTTTGCCCCCAATCTGAGGTCCTGTGTGCTCTGGAGCAAGTGTTCATTAAGGATCTCGCTGTACTTTGCTCCATTCATCTTTCCCTCGATCATGACTAGTTTCCCAGTCCCTGCCGCTAAAAAACATCCCCAAAGCATGATGCTGCCACCACCATGCTTCACCAGACGTGACGCTTGGCATTCAGGCCAAAGAGTTCAATATTGGTTTCATCAGACCAGAGAATCTTGTTTCTCATGGTCTGAGAGTCCTTTAGGTGCCTTTTGGCAAACTCCAAGCGGGCTGTCATGTGCCTTTTACTGAGGAGTGGCTTCATTCTGGCCACTCTACCATAAAGGCCTGATTGGTGGAGTGCTGCAGAGATGGTTGTCCTTCTGGAAGGTTCTCCCATCTCCACAGAGAAACTCTAGAGCTCTGTCAGAGTGACCATCGGGTTCTTGATCACCTCCCTGACCAAGGCCTTTCTCCCCTGATCGCTCAGTTTGGCCAGGCGGCCAGCTCTAGAAAGAGTCTTGGTGGTACCACATTTCTTCCATTTAAGAATGATGGAGGCCACTGTGTTCTTGGGGACCTTCAATGCTGCAGAAATGTGTTAGTACACTTCCCCAGATCTGTGCCTCGACACAATCCTGTCTCGGAGTTCTACCGACAATTCCGTCGACCTCATGGCTTGGTTTTTGTTCTGACATGCACTGTCCACTGTGGGACCTTATACAGACAGGTGTGTGCCTTTCCAAATC